AAGAATTCAAAAATATCACTTTTCACCAAAAATGACAAAAATAATCATCACAATTAAGTAATTTAAGATATCACCACGAAATTAACAAATCTGAAAGAGGTCCACATGTAGTACCTATATATGTAATATAAAAGCAATCAGACTTGCGGTTTTCAACAAGAAGTTGAAAATATCACTTTTTATCAAAAATTACAAAAATATTCACCAAAATTAGAGAATTAAAGATATCATTACAAAATGAACAAATCTGAGAGAGGTCCACGTGTAGTACCTATATATGTAATATCAAAGCAATTGAACTTGTGCTTTTTAACAAGAAGTCAAAAATATCACTTTTTACCAAAAATTACAAAAATATTCACCAAAATTAGAGAATTAAAGATATCATTACAAAATGAACAAATCAGAGAGGGGTCCACATGTAGTACCTATGTAATATCAAAGCAATTGGACTTGTGCTTTTTAACAAGTTGAAAATATCACTTTTTACCAAAAATGACAAAAATATTCATATGATAAGCTCCGCTCGACAAAGTCGACAGCGGAGCTAAAAAGTCATATCAATGAAGCAATATACTGTTGATTTACACAACCTATAGGAGGTGTGCTTGTATAACAAATAGAATATTTGATCTATGACATCATAAATCTGTAGTATTACTTAAATCTTGATTTATGATTTCTAATTATGGGTAATAACTTATCATGGTTCCAAACCAAATGTATTGACTTTAACAGCATTATATTCACTACTGTGCACTAGCTTCTAGTTTGTTTCACTTGCTTACATAATGAATTGACCATTAAATCATTCTGTGAATGATTAACAATGCTATCAGTGTATTCAGTGTAACCAAATACATTGCAGCACAAAATTAAAAGCAGTCTTGTTCATTACTTGATGGAGGTATTTTCCTTATTGATTAAATTTATTCCAACATAAAGTTGTTAGATCTATCTTGAGCTTCAGAATGTATTTGAGGTTTTCAGGAAGTAAAACTCTGGAGAATCATTGTAAATATATATATATTATGAAAGCTCATAATTAATGCTACTTAAAAATCATTGTGGTCACTTGATTGCTAAGAAAAGGAATTGAATAGTGAACATTCAAATGATTACTGTGAGATAATAAAAGAGATACTCCATACAATTTTTTTTTGACAATGTAGAATAAAATGTGACAGTCACAGTGATTTTTTATAATTTTTCTTCTTTAAAATGTAAATTATTTTCACCAGAATATGTTCATTTTTACACTCAGGTAGCGAAATCATTAGAATGCAGAAAATTTAACAAAAATAGCTGATGAGGTATCGTTCATTCATACCACATCTACAATCTCTGAAGAAAAAAAGATAACTGTTGAGTGCCTGCTGAGTAGTTCTTTGATCATTTTGATGTCAGAATTAGGTTAATATCAATGCGAATGGTGGAGTTGATTTATTAAATGCCTGTCATTTCTTGGGCTCAAAATATTATCAGCTGTACTATACTGCACTCACTCACTCACCTTGCCGAGCGAAATTGAGAATCGATTACAACAATAAAGTCTAGTAATATCTCGTACAAATTGCCTTGAATTTATGTGTTTTTTAATATTAGACAATATGAACAAAAACAACTCTAATTTAAGAACAAGGTTTGCACTTTCTGCTCACAAGGTTAGTTGCATCAAATTAATAATTTAATTTCAGAAAAGAAACTTGCAATCTTATGCAACAAATGTGAGTCAAGCCATTGACTAATGAAAAACATGCATTCACATATCAGGTCATTGAATGCATTTATATACGGTACCAATAAGCAAGTTTTTACTGTCAAAATGGCATGTCTGATGAATGCATGTGTCATATACCTGCATGGAGGTACCAGTGATCACATGGTGATCATTATCAGAAAATTTGTATTGTGCAGCCTGAATCAAACATTGAATTGTGCGACACACTTTATTCTTCTATTTTTCTTGCCATAGATGATTTTCACATTGATTTACATCTATTGATAAGAAAGCGAACTCAAAATTTACCATTGTAAGTCAGGATGACCGGTCGCAAAATTATTATACAAGTATTTACTGTACTAATAATACAGCATAATATTTGTCATCACAGGTTGGTTAATTTAAAATAAAAATTGGAAGTTTATTTTAGATTATTTAAAAACTTTAAAGCGTTTTCCAGAACAGTGTCTCAGTCCCACTATCATGTCAATGCAGCAATGTCTGCTTGTCACCAGGAAGTACTTGTAAAAAAATGAGGACTAATGAGGAGCCTTGTTGTGAAATGCAATAAATGAATGTTAGTCACTTACTTTGACAACAACTTTGAAACTCATTTTTTTAATTAAAATATTCATTTTGTTCTCAGATATAAAGTATGATGACATTCTTTACATGTAAATTGATTTATCAATATTTTTTTTTTACTTTTTTTGTGGAGTTGTAATTTGTAGTTGTGTTACTTTTTTTCTGTAAAAACACCTCTACCTATGTATTTTTAAATATTGTATGATGGGTCGCAGCCCAGTAATGAATAAAGATTGATTGATTGAAATGATGACATCTGACATCAGGGAAGCAAGCATTTGACAGGCACTTTAATGGACAAACAGAAAACCCAGCTTGTCAATGTAATCTTTATATTGAAGGATTTATCACTGATCAACAAGACTTCTGAGGTTTCAGAGAAAAAGCTCTACACACACTATAGTATGATAAATATAGACATAGCTGCACAATTAAATTCCACACTGTAAAAGTTTTAATTTTCACAGGTATAAAATCTTTTAATTCCACAATTTTGATATAGCATATTCACTGGGATTTGCCAGTGAAACAATTAGTGCTATCATAATTTTACATGTTCACAAAGATTTAAGTAAGCTTTACTTCTCAGCAAAAATAATAAAACCCAGTGAAAAATGAATGCGTTTACGATAGTACATTGTATAATCAAATCTAATTTAGGATGCATGTACAGTCTTGTGCATCATAAATAAAATTCAAACAAGACAGCAGATTTGTTACAGTAAACCACATAATCACAATAATCCTGGCTAAATTTCCCAAAGGTATTATCTATTTTTATATTTTGCAAGGAATTTGAATGACTGGTCTATAGATGCTACAACAGTAGTACGAAAATATCAGTGTGTCACTATACATGTACATGCAGAGATAAAAATGCTTGTTATTTCATTTTGGTAGCAATTAAACATAATGTCTAGATAATGAATCAAGGTAAATAAATTTAGGGACAGCCTTGGGTAAAACACTGAATGTACATCGTAGGCCGATGCTAGTTTAAAATTGAGTTATACAGAAGAATTAAGGAAAATCTGGTATGTAAAAAGTTGTGCAAAAGAACTGACAGACAACTGCATAGTATAAAATTTAACTTTTGGCAATATCCTCAAATCACAAAATAATGTAGCTGCTAAAATGGTATGTTATCAATATCAGCCTGTATTATAAGGTATCGACAATACATTTTATTTATGATATATTGAAATACAAGCTGTGGGCAAAATAAAAAAAATCAATAAAACAAAAAGCATATTAGTATGAAAAGTCACTATCATGTGTTGATGTACTTTACATGTTTAACACAGGTAACAAATACATACTAGTAACATCGATACATCGGGAATCAGGTTTCATTTTAAACCATTACTACGGAAACATGGTAATAGACTTCAGTTCATTATATACATGTTTATCAGGGAATTTCAGAGAAATACAGCAAACCATAGGTAAGTTAATAATGATACTGACAGTGTTTATATAAGTCAATTACTTACTGTCTTTTGGTAGGGAACAATAAGCTGATACTGCCTGCCAACCTTCACAGCACTGCCATCCCTACCAGCAAAAAAAAAAAAAAAACATAAACAGATTTGTCAATATGTTATATTCAGGCAGTATGTTTTTAATAGTTTATCTATGCAAGGTTCAAAAGGTATGACCGAATAACAATTTAAAATTACTAGTTAAAAAGGTGAGGGTACATTAGCAAATTGACTGCATGTTTAAACTCTCACCTAATTGTTAACAAGTGTGTAAACCCCAGTGTAAAGACATCAATTAAATGAACAAAAATATAAATAAATGTTGAAATGATAAATTAATATTAGGCAAAAGAACGTAACAATTAATTTCAGAATACACATAACAGTGTAAGAGTTAGACAATTAATAAACAAGAACACATGTAACCTACATAGCTGTATATAAATATGCACAACAGATGTTACACAACTCAGTAGATGCAGTGACAAATAGGAAGCAAATTAAACAATTTTGATGAAATCTGTAATCTTCCTAGCACCCCTAGAGACACTGTACCTGCTTAAGTGCATTTCCAATAGAAGTGCGCATAAACCAAGAATTGAATTTATTGTATGCTGGATTAGTAAAATATGACTTGTTTTGAAAATATACCTCTGTTATTTACGTGGGCAGAGAACAAATATGTCTTTTTGGCGAATAATTTGCAAAAGAAAATAAAATTTGCTTAATACAGAATATGAGGTACTGGTATTTATTTATATTTTGCATTTCGCTTGCTAACATGTTGGTTAGAATTCAAATATACATGCAAAAGAACACAAGATTCTGAAACTTTAAATATTGTTGCAGCACTGTTACCAGGGTTGCTGGGAATGAGAGATAGAAGCATTTATAAGGATACTTGTCCTTGGCTATTCCAAACACTTAGCAGACTGACATACTGTTAGTAGAACATATTCAGGAGCTATCAGCAGCTCAGACATGCAAGATACAAATACAATATACACTGCAAGAGGCACAAGATATAATACCACTTCATGCTCTATGCTGAAGACAGCTGGTGATAGCACAAGTAACGCAATACAGTAGAAAATACAATACTCCAGCAATGTAAAGCTACATTTGTTCTCTAGTGTATTTGGTTACAATGGAAGCAGATGAACACATTTCAATGTATTATTAAATTTTAAAGTGCGGTGGTCGTCGTGCAGCGCGTGTTCGAATTTCATGTAAATAAACAATGTATTTTACACGCGTTGTGTACGTCGCTATTAGTTCCATATCGAACAGGACGCGGCGCGACGACTGCCTCCCTTTAACATTAATATAGTCAAAACAATTTTTTCATAATTCTGCATTTTCTCTAAAAAAAATAAATTATTTAGCATAAAAATTATATCTTTGACAGCCTGCCATTTTTATCAGGAAGCTCTAGGTTACTGTATCTCAAGTCAGATTACCAGTATATTGCTCATCAAACAAATGAAGATATTATTAACTATACAAACAATACTTATCTAACATACAGACAGTACATTTATAGCAACAAATATTTAGACACTTCTGTCAGACTGTATCACAAGCAACACTATCTACAATATATCTGTAATCCTTCATACACAGATATCCATACATATTCCATTGCAATAGTATACATAACAATACATACATACATACATATGATATACATAACACAAATTATATGGGCATGTTTTTACACTGTGCTATTTTAGGCTAATTATTTGCATATTTACACATACTTAACAAACAAAACATTTTCATGAAGTAAATGAATGAATTGAATACATTCTAATGCATTATTTGTTCAATTTTCTTTTCACAACAAGCAACATGAAAATTAGCATAATTTTAAATAATATTTTGCTGTCTAAATATTACAGTATAGGTGAAAATAATTTCCATGTTATTTGTTTTTGTAGGCAAGATATTTGCAGCGTATAAACACCTAATGTTTATTGTGAAGTGTTGGTTGCTACAACTATTGTATTATTTTTTTAAAGTGGCAATTAATTCAATTAACCACAGTGCGGTCGCGAATTGTTGTAAATGTATTACGTAGAAATGATCGGCTTCCGCTAAACCCTCCGTATTAAATCAACTATTTTATAACAGTGTAGACACACTTTGCTTTTAAGTACACGGCGTCATTGGTTCATCAGTAAACTGTGCTGTAAAACATAAACAGAACCTGTTTGTTTTCAGACCCCACCCACCATGAAGACATCCGATGGTTCTCGCAGCGTGACATAAAGGGCGACTTACAATGAAACGAAAAACACGAAGCCATCCAGTAAGATAAGATAATTCTTTATTACAACCTTATAGAATGAATTACATATCTATTTTGGTTTATGAAATGCAACAAAGTTCTTTTCAATGCAACATAATCAAGCCAAAAAAAAACATGTCACATTTTTTAAACACGTTTAACGGAAAACAGCAGCTACGAATATGCTTGTAACTCTAACAGTGGTTTGGAGTGAAAAAGTTTGTGAAATTTGTCCTATTAAATGAATTTGCATTGCAAACAGAGCCGGTTAGATCTCGCAATCATTTTCTACTTAAAAGCAGAAATGCACTAAATGACAACACACAATTTCGTAACTGGCGATTCCTTGTTCTTGTAATGCAAAAAGAAACAGTGTGGTACTCACAGTAATTTGTTTGGAGCGCAGGACCCCGGGTGGACAATTTACGACAAATCTACGGCTAACAGCAAACAAACGAAACCAACCAGACGACGCCATTTTCGATCGCCAAATGAATGTAGTGAGTGAAATTATTGAAATTGATAGATCGAGATTCAAAAATAGTCTTCATCAATAAATTATATCCTTCCAACATTCTAATTAAAATAATATAATTATATTTACTACGTCGATTGACAGTGCGATACAAGATATTTGTTGCATTGAAATAATATAATTTGACACAATGTTAAAAAACTATAACGAAGATGCATTCTGCAACTGTAAAAAATGCGTTACGGGTGTCAACAAAATGTAGTGGGGTTGGGTATGTCTTGTTGATCTATCTCGAGAAAAACGGTACAGATATATCGGTAAGTCATGTTTTTATATTTTGTAATGTAGTATGAAGACTATATTATCACATAAACTGTTTGTCAGTATTTTTTGTAACTGCGCATGTAAATTATTTTGCAAAATACGTCCTGAAAGCCAGTCCAGTGAGCGAGACACTTGTGAACAATTCAACTTGACTGTCCGATTGTGCTTTAATTAAAAACTGAACTTAGTTGCAAAACAATTATAATTGTGGGACAACTATGCATATGATGCGTAGTGTTATCACATCTGACTGTATAACGTCCAGTACCATAAAGCCTCTAGGAAGACGATAAGAATAAATGTACACCGGGTTTCATGAAGGCGTGAATTTGTAAATGGATATATATAAATATTCATATAACATTTATCCTGAAAGACCCTCACAATTAAATCCAATGTGAAGTTCTATATGGATATATTATCATTTACTAAGGTTCGTAATTGGTCAATTTGTTTTTAGTATTCCCAATTTAAAAACATTTGTAAATATTTTATCGCTAAGACCGAGTTTCCGCTTTCAAAGAGAGCTCATAGAAAAATGAAAAAAATCTATATACCCTAAGAATTTGAAAAT